TAACTGCAGCCTTGAACGACTTCTGTAGGCGTACAATTCTAGTGTGTAGGTACCGTCTTATACTATTAAATAGACATGTAATAGGGATGTGATAAATATAATGACAAATAGTAATAAATCGATTACTATTCTGTAAGTAATAGATAATTGATTTACTGATTTAATAATCGAAAAGAAATAAATGTATTCAACCTAAAAAGATATAAAAATAAAAATATCCACAGGCCTTAAATCCTTAAATTAGGGTTATGGAAAAAGCGAGTGTGGATGAATCGAACATTATATTATTTAATCAAATATTAACATAACAAAGATAAGAATTAATGAATTTAATAGTTTTTTACACATCCCTAATGTGTAATGTAGTGAATAAGCGCAATAGTCTGATATGCTATGCTAATAAAATTGTATAAACATTTCTCTTTAAAACAACCACGTACAGTAAGTAAGTTGTCTTGCTCGACATTTATCTCGGCTACATACACGCGTAAAAATAACAAAACATAGTAGTACGCCAAACGATAAGCTGTATAAAGCGGGTGTTGTTTAAGTTTTGTATTTCCACAATACCTTCTTGATACTTAGAAATCAATAACGTAGTGTTCGTTAATGATTTAATGACTAGAAATAAGCGAATTAAATATGATATATCCATAAATTACATTACAGAAATTACCTTTTTAAATATGACGCCATGAAATTTAAAACTCTTCTCACACATATTGTCACGCAATGTCATATTTATCGACCATGTTCTCCTTAATGTGACATTGCTTGGTTTAAGGTAAAATACAGCAAAATGCAAGCTAGAGCTAAGAAAGTTTTCATGTTTCAAAAATAAGACATAAATCAGTTGTGTGTTAATTCTTTACTTTTTAATGGCTAAATATGGGTGAGCAACTAAGGAGCAACGCACAGATGTAGAGCCAGCTGTTTCTATGACAGTCACGTTCACAATCTGTCAGTGTGTTTGTACTACACTACCACACTACGGGCTTGGCTCGTTAAATTTTTATTGCCACAAGGTCGCCACTTTATGGTCAATTCTGAACAGTTATTGTTCGCGGACAAACTTTTTTTTACAACTAGCGTCAATCACTTTATAACGGCGGAGTTACGATTGACAGTGATTAGGCCTTAATTGTTATGGGGCAATAAAATGTCTTTTATAAACTCCGAAAGTGTTATGATAATCTGTTTTGTTTGGCTGGTTACGTTACTGTGTAATAATGGTGATGATAAAGGATTATTAGTATTATTATGCAGTTTGTAGGCTGTAAATCCCTTTTTAGACAGTTTTATGCATACGAAAACAATTGTAATGACTTCTTGCTGTCAGTTGAGTACGCGCGTACGATAGGCATAAAGCGTTAAATGTGCCTAAAGTAGGGTTCATACACAAGTGTTTGATTTGTCTCTAGACCGTTCACTTAAACTTAACAATATTTGTTCAAAACGAGTCGTAAATTTGTTGTATTTTACAGGTTTTACATACTCGTTCATGTTTACATAATAGTATTGACTAAGTTTACAGAAATGACTCCAATTTTAAGCTGTGGCTTTATTTTATACAATGTAATGCTACACATGTACTAATTAACCGGTTTTAAGCACATGTTTTAAATTAAATATATGATAGAAGATAATTACACTAGTATTGATAGATATTTACATCGACGCCTATTCATCTTATTGAGACTAGAATAATGATAGACCTACAATATTTTTTACAGGTATATTGAGTTTAGCATTACAGTGGGAGCCCTTTATCTCTATGGCAATAGGAGATAAAGGGTTTGCGTGGGCAAAATCACGTAAAACTTAAACATGTAGTAGGAAAGCTATCTACCTATATAGGTAGTACCTATTATTCAAGTGATATAGATACCACATAACAATACCTATTTGTAGAATGTTTTATAGTTCAATACTATAGGTAATATAGGTAATATACAAAAATCACGTTACTTTGTAATTTGGACATTCTACGGTGTGGTACGCTAGCTATTATCCGTGACAGCGTCTACACAAACAGTCGTTCACTATTCCACTCCCTTTCAGATTATTTTTTGGGTTAAAAGAATAGCCTCGTTTGGATTCCTTCTGGTAGTACTGTCTGTCTTCATGTTCAGTTTCATTATAATCAATTCAGCCGTTTAGTCGCGAATAAGTAACAAATAAACAAATAGGAATACTTCCGAATTCTCAATATTAATATGGATTCGTCTGGATAAAGGATAGGATTGATTAGATTAATGTGATGTGGTGTATGTTTGTTTGTGTGTGTGTGTGTGTGTGTGTGTGTGGATGGTGAGTAGGAGACGAATTTAAAATTTAAACTCACTAAATTTATATTCTGCTATGCCTCGTAATTACACGATCTCAAAAACAGTAATGTACTACGTACCTCAAAAATTCAATTACTAACGGCATAAAACTAAATGCTGACGTAATGGTACCTAACTGATTACTACAGCCACGTGCAGTAAGTACATTCAGGCATCGCGCGTCGTATGATAACAAACGATGTTTTGACTGCAATTTGGGCGATATCGGCTTTCGAGAAACGGTCGCAAAGCGTTCGTAATAAAGCAATTTGCAAGCGCACCAGCAAAACAATAGCCTGTTCAAAGCTTGTTTTAAAAGCTTCGACACTGTGATTTAAAACCCTTTGCCTCGCACCTTATTTGTAAACAGGCAAGTACAAAGGCTGACTGTTCCTGAACAAAGGTTTGCACAACTCCATCGCAATGGAGCTTTGTTAAGTTTTTTGATACCTAACTCGTTAATATGGCGAAAGTTACGTCGTCCGTTTTGTAGATACGTAATAGCTTTAGAGTTCCTTAAGTTGGAACTACTTCATTCGGAGAGATTAGTCTAATTTGGTTAGCTGTTTGAGAAACTACAGTTCTCTACCTACCTACATGACGCACCTAAATCTGTCATAATAATATATTAAATACCTAACTTCTAATTTTTCAAACGTTGGAAACAAATGCTGATACAGTATGTAATAAAAGTAACGTGTCTTGTATTAGAGAACGTCATTCGGTAATTTATACTTCTAAATACATGCGTCTGCGTAAAATTATAAAAAGATTTTAATTCGAGAAAATACGTTTGTTAGACATTAAATTCTCTCTAATATAAAGTTATGAGCCAATTATAATGTTTAAATTGTACAGAACCATACACAACAGTCCCTGATTTTTTACACCTTAATGCGTTCGGTTTATTGGCATTGACCCACTATTCGCCTTTTGTTCTTGGTGAAAGTTTGTATTCATTGCGAATTTTCGAACTTTATAAACCCTTTCAATTATTTTTGCAATAGTACAAAAGCCGTGAAATCGTTTGTTTCTATTGTGAAATTCCTGTTGAGTTGTTGACATAGAGAAAAAACACTATTAAAAAATGACAGCCTGCAAAAAAGATAAAACAAACCGTATGTTCAGGTAAAGCTACCATTTGTTGTAATGAAACAAATAGGATTTCGAATACCATTTAAAATCTAAGATGGTTAAATGAGGAGATAAATGATATGTTATATTTTAAGTATGAATACGAATAATGTTAGTAGATATAGATACCTACCATTACACAAATATATTAATTTACAAACACAATTTTACAAATTTATTCAGTAATTAGGTAGATAAATATAGGTAACACACACATTATTTTTAAGTTAATTGACGAAATATAAATTGAGGAAACATCGCCTTTAGGCAGGTTTTAATTATCTGCATTAATTTGACGAAGCCATATCAAATGAATAATTGCAACTAAATTGTACGGAAGGCTTTTAGTAAAAAAATAATCTATCATAGGCCTTTACACACGGGCGTGAAACGAACGTTATTTTTATGAACCTATAAGAATAATAATCATTAATTTATAAAAAATAGTTACAATAAATAGCGAAGTTACGCTATCTATTTTAAAATCCTTTTACAAGTTTACGTAACAGTTAAAGATTTAAATAATTATTCATATAAATTAATTATTAATTGGAAAATCAATATATGTATACATTGGTATATTTTTTGTTGATGCATGACATTTTTCTTATAATATTTAATTAGATTATATATTTCACTAGTAATACAGCCACTTCACTACAAGTTTTTATTATACTTTTGCAGTAATCACTTTTCATTTAACAATATTTAACCTACGAGTATAGTCTGTGTATTTTTTCCTCTGGGTATTTTCAGTTTATTACTAGTTTCAGTTTATTATTATTACCTTGCTCTTATATTATTTGTTAACTATTGATATTACTCGCTACTTCACAGTAGGTAAGTAAGTAGGTACATATGTATAAGTACCTTATTTGTCATTGATCATTACCTAGAAGGTGAAATAATTCATCTACTCTTCCGATCTCTACCCATTCCCACGTGTTGCAGTGGCTTTCGACTACATCCGACATGTCTCATGCCAGCAAACATTCCCATCATAATACTTGACTAGATTCATAATCATCATGTATTAACATTTTTATAACCACTACATTAATAGCATTTCTACTATTTAACATTTATTACATACTAACGATCTGTCTTTGCTTCATATGTTTGTGAAAATAAAATGCCTCCCATATTACTGGCTGATAATCTAGGCTGATGATATTATTTGTATTGTTGAAATAAGTAATAAAATCAGTGAAGTCTTTTTAATTATTACAAACACAAATAAAAAATATATACCCTTAGTAATTGACCAACAACTCAATAAAAGAAGCGTTATAAGTTTAACCTGTCTGTGTATTTGTATCCGTCTGTGACATCGTTGCTTCTAAAACAAATGCGTTTTTTTATGGTTTGAAAGTTAACAACAATAAGGCGGATATTTGTAACAATTTATTAGATATTATTTAATTTTTAAAATGTACTTTAATTTATCAAGATGTGCACAAGTCGCCCGTGTGTAAAGTTTCTTATTTTAAACTAAATACACTTAAAACTAAAAGAAAATAAATTTGAAACGATAAATACCATTGAACTCACCGCAGACCACGCGGTCGAAGGGGCTCATCCAATCTGGAAATGGAAAATCTATTATCAATCGTATTGAAAGTTCTTTGTTTCGGCAGAGTTGCATGCATCACATATAAAGCTTAAACTAAATGACTAAGATATTTCAAGAAAACTAGGTATAGGTATATCTATCTATTTATTTAGTTAGTCAATTCAATCTACTCGTTGTGATAACCTATAGCAAGGGTGAGTTACTATATTTCCATACATTGAAAGAATAGCTGCTTAGGAACATAAGATAACATAATTACTAACAAAATTAGTTGTTTATTACATACACTATCATTATGACATACATATTAAAAAACTACGAAAAAGTTACAAAATATTACTAAAAAAATACATTTGACAAAGTGAAACTAAAAGTTAGAGAATCTTTTATACTAAGCATGTTTTTGTAACAGAGAAAAGAATAATAATATATTTATTCCTTAGCTTATTCAAAAATCTCACTATCTAAACTGTATACCTGTAACTTTCTAAATGATTTAAATGATATTTTTAAAGTACAACAATCTATAATATTACCTATATTGTACAGGCGACATATTAGGTCATACATATCAAAATGAATAATGAGATTTTAGATAGAATGATATTGCAAGAGACTTTAAACTACTCTAATTTTCTTACATATAAAATTGCGTATTACCTACCACAATATAAAGATAACATATTTATATAATTATATGATGCAATTAGATTTTTTATCACATATTATGTGATAAAAAACAACTCTACATAATGAAGAAATTCGCACATGCAATTGCAGATCCACCCCAATTGATACACAAAGTAAACAACAAAAGCGATTAGAATCGCGTATGCATGCAAGCAAGCAAAAGATTTTCCCATAACCGTGGCACGTGAAGAAACGAACAGTTACGATTCGACGATAACAATTGCTAGTTAATTACTTTTTATCATTATTAATGTCAGCTTTATGAGCATGAACGTTTTAATTGCGTTTAACAATTACAAACCCATTTGTGTTGATAGCTCTCGCAAACACGAGAGAAGCTTTAGTGACGTTGGGAGAAAACAATTTTGAGAGTACCTACAAGCCGTTGACGTAATTTTCCTATAATGTAAGGGATACTACATAGATATGCCTACATACATACCTACAGGATTGGAATATAGACGTGCTTAATCTGCATCGCATCACGTTTAGTACAAATGTGGTAAAGACGATTATGGAAAATTATTACTTAGACCAGTCTAGCACAGGAATAGGATAATTGTAGCCACACTAGTATATCTATAGGGTAGATCGTGTATCAATTCTATACCTGTAAGTGTACAAATGTAGAAATAATAGTCTATCGGTGTATATATATACAGTGGTAAATACTTATATCTAAAATGTGAACTAATGTGTTTAAATGGTATAGTAATAAATTGTTCATAAATAAGGTAAATTAAGTAATTAAGAAACCTATTAGCTTTGATGTGAATAATTTGTAGTGAAGTTTAGTTACTTCAAAGAAAATTATTTCCAGTACTGTCTCGTGTTACTTTCAAGTAAATCTATTTGTTCTATAGCCAAGAGGAAAGCTACGTAACGTGTTTAAAGGATTTGTCACGAAGATTTCACTGTCTGAAACCCAGTGACAGTAGGTAACATTACTTCTTAGAGAAAATATTTTAAATATAAAAATGAGGTTTAAATATAAAAGTGAGGGTTATTTAAAATTAATATAATTAGTTACAATAAATGGGTTATTTTAAAGTATACTTACAGACCCGTATTCAAATATGGTACCAATAGTAGGTATGTGAAGATAAACATTTAAACCTCGATAGTAAAACTTTACGTAGTAGGTAACATCAACTTACATTAGTAATGGTACTAGGTCCTAATGATATAGGTACATGGGATATTTATGAAATATATCCATAAACTAAAATAAAATCCTAAATAACAAATATTACATAACTGAAATTGTTATATACCTACCTACTTAAGTATTTAATATAGATATTGGTTAGACATAATATCAAATGAAACAAACTAGATGACCCTGACCTCAAATAAAACAAAACAAACAAACGCCGAATGAGAAGCAGATTGCTATGCAAATAAGTAGTGGCTTTGTTTTACATAACTATTATAACAGTCAAGGACTTATAATAAACTATAATATTACTATTATTTCTCAATAAGTAGTTTCAAGATAAACAAGATCACTTAATTAACTAGTTCAGTTATTTTTGTATTTTACAGAAATTGCGAATTAGCTGATGATCCACCTTGTTGAGATTGGAAACAGTCGCTGTCATAGGAACAGCACTACACAAAAAATTGGCAATATAGGTACGTGGTGGGGAGTAAAACAACTTCGGCTTCGGTTATACTATGAGAAGTCAGCCCTGATTTAGTTACACACAAGGCAACCATGGGCGCTCTCCACCACTGGTAGATATTGTATTTCGGCTGATTTTAGTATAAAGATAGAAATAAATATACACACCTAGATATAACTAAGATCAAACGTCTGTAACTATCTTCCTATTTATATATCCAGAATTTATTGATCATTAAATATCTATCGTATATTGTTTAAACGTACAGAAAATAAAAAGATTTGTAATTCACTTTTATTCAACTGTTACTAAACGGTACATACTCAAGAATGTATCATTCAAAGGAAAGTAATATAGGTATTTAAGATACGTCTTATCATAATTTAATTTCGTTATAATGAATATTATTTTACCGGAATCAGTTGTTTATTATATCTTCAGCATATTTTAAATTACTTACTTATAATCAACCTCTTTAATAATTGCATAATATAAATACATACATTAAGGATAAGTTTCTTTACCTATTGTAATAGTCGATTTTCATGTTTACCGTTTACCTTTTTTTTTTAAATTGAAGTAGAATTAATGTATCAAACGAGAAATGTCCAATTAAGAACGTGCCTCAGTTTTTGCCGGTGTATAAATTAGACATGTTTTATTAATCGGAAACATTTAAAATGTATCGATTTGGTGCACTCGTTAATTACACGTTATTTTTATACCTAGGTATCTACCTACCTACTTTATCCATATCTTTGTAGATAGATATAGGTATAAATAATCGAAATATAACTGATAGCTGTCTGTATAGTGAAGATAGGTACTACTGAGACCTACTCGTAAGTACATGAAAATAAAATAGCAATATAATTGTACGCGAAATATTCATTTATTTGAAATTTTCGTCTGGTTGTCTGTGCGTTTGTTCGCGCTATTCTCAGAAATGGCTGAAATAATTTTTATGTTATTTTCTCAATATTGTGGTAAGCCACACTTAAAACTTTTTGTTTGTTTTATTCCAACCGGTTTACAAACCGAAGACTTATAAAGCTACAAAGTCGCGGAAGTACGAAGACGTGAATCCTAATTAATATTATATACCGAAATCTATACCTACCTAAATAACTGTAGTTGTAATATATTCGTTGAGATAATAAGGGACCGACTGTACCCAAAGCCAAATGTCACACTCGCCATGAGTGGCTTAACCCTAAAATGGAAAAGGTTAAGAGTTTCGTATCAGCCTCACGTTTCAAGTGCGAGATAATAATGTTATTTTTAGCTTTATTTTTTATTTGTAATTATTGTTAGGTTATAATAAGTTACATAAAATAGACAAATTAATTGCAAAACTTTTATTTTATCAAGTACTAGCTTCTCGTCCCGGTTTCGCCTGGGTACCAGCCTGGTACATGTATTACATATATAAACTTTCCTCTAGAATCACTCAATCTATTAAAACAAAACCGCTCCAAAATCTGTTGTGTAGTTTAAAAGATTTAAGCTTATCTACATAGGGACAGACAGCGAAAACGACTTTGTTTTATACTATGTAATGATTTACATCTCCAATAAAAGGAATAGGTATGTATGTTTGTATACCATAGGTACCACTAAAAAATCTAATCAGATAGGAACTATTTCCTTTGATTAGATTTTTTAGTGGTAGGTAGATATAGGTATGGGTGTAGGATTAGTCGTAAAGGTAGAGAGAGAGAGAGAGAGAGCACACAATGAAGCAAGATAGGAAATTTTAAATATTGTTTAAAACCATTACTCATACAAAGTGCATAGTAACGTTATTAATTTTATATGACAAGTACAAAGATTTCCTCTTTGATTCTTCATTAAAGTGGTTTAGAGTACGAGAGGTACGTTTAACTGCTAAAGACCTATAGATATGTCTACACCTAGGTAGTAGGTAACAAAATAAACCCACTTTGATATATGTAGTTTAAATATAAAGATAAACTCATTATTAGCGTAACTCAATACCATCCATCATTTGCGATATAGAAAACGGTTAACATCTGTCCACTACGAACCTATCTATACATACAAAATATTATGATCATATAATAGTATTAAGATTATTGAATTAAGAGTCTTAATAGCAATCAATAACAATAGACAAGATCATGTGGGTTTAGGGCAGTTTGTCGCGTTCTCATTGGCTAGCACGCGCCGCCATATTTGTTTGGCGCATGCGCTCTGCGACGCACACATGTGGTCGCTTGTATACATTACACCTCTACACGTGGACATGGTTGAAACCAGACAAAATTAGAAAGTGGTGGTCAGTATCTAGTTATTTTAAATAATATTAGCAATTTGCTTTACTATTAATTGAGATCGTTTTGTTAATTCCGAACAAGATACATCTATACTAGTTTTTTGCAGTTGATATAGGGACTCTGCGTGGCCGGGACAAAATAGTCAGTATCTCCTTGCCGTTTTAAAAATGGCTAATATTTGGGTTGAATTTGAATGAACTTCTAAAAGATTTCGTCGTTTATACCTAAATGATGGAAAGTGTAAAGAAGCCTAATCTACAAACTTATTTATATGTAAATATATTATAGATACGATTCTAACATTCCGAATAATTGCAACTTTCATTCAAACCTTCGAATAATGTAGTGTTCGAACATAATGCGCTGTTTTACTGTCAAATTGTTGTAGAACGTTGCGCGTTACGACGAATAACT